CCGTGTTCCCATCTCTCCGCTTCATTAATTACCAAGTCTTGTGTTATCCAAACCTCAGCTCACATTTTTGGTTTTAATCGAGTAGTACAAAACGAACTCCAAGTGTATTACTTCATCTGTATCTCTGAAAGAATGAATTTTATTAGCTTTTTATTGGCAGCACACATCCTGAGCACAGAAACCAGCTCCAGATCAGAATCAGGGCATGACTCAGAGCCGCCTCCGGTTCCCTCCCAGAGGGAGCCCCTTTCCCAACACAGAGCAGCAGGCTCTTCCCTGCTTCACACTTTGTTTGGGTGGAATCACACAGATCGTGTCTGGCTGCTTTCACTCGGCATTATTTCTGAAATTCATCCGTACTGTGCTCACAGCTTTAGAACATAAACTCTCATTGCTGCGTCCTGTTCCACTGAGGGAATGTGCTGTGATGTGTCTACCCCTCTGCTGTCGATGGGAGATGGGAGAACTGCCAGGTTCTGGGCTACTGCAGGTGGCACTTTAAACATTCTCCTGCATGTGCTTTGGTGCACTTCCCAGTGTATTTCTGGTGGAATGGAATTGCTGAGCCATAATTAGAGCAACTGCCCGACAGTTTTCCAGGTTGATTGTGCCAGTTAACACGTCCACAAGCAATATACGAGAGCCTACGAAAACCACTGTGAGTGGACATCAGGCTGTTGTGAATGGCGCTACTGTGAACATGGGTGCACAGGTACCTGTTCACGTTCCTGCTTCCAGGTCTTTTTGGAACTGCTGGATCATAAGGCGCTTCTGTGGTTACTTTTTTGAACTGCCTAACTTTTCCACAGCAGCTGCACCGTTTCATTCCCACCAGCAGTGCACAGGGTTCCCGTTTTCTCCACATCCTCACCTAGAAGTCACCGAGGTGAGAGCTTCAGGCCTTCTCAGGACTTTTCTGAGCGTGTGTCTTGCCCTGGCTTGCACATAGCTTTCTAAATGCCCCCAAGCGTGCTGCTTTGGAATGTCCTAGTGTCCAGTGAGCCTCACCCCAGCTTCTCCCCCAGGCCTTGGATGGCCTGTTGTGTGTCTCCTTGTGTCCCCCTTGCTCAGGCTTCTGTGGGTCGGGAGTCCCTTTTCCGAGCAGTGCCCACAGCTTTCTGGCCTGTGTTCTGGGTTTTATGAAACAGAGACAAGCATCTTGCATCAGGCCCTCAGGTATCCGCAGGCGGCGCAGAGAGGACCACACAGTAATTCACAAGTGCAGTCTGCTCTGTCCCTCTGTGGTTTGGGGGTGGGGCTGGGGGAGTAGGAGGTTGGTTGCGACAGCTCCTGGAGGCTCTTCCAGTGAATCTGTGGGGAAATGGGAGCTCGGAGCTCCCTAGTCCTCCATTCTGCTCTGTGTGTTTCGGTAGCAAGATGCTGGAATATTTCTTCAATCTAACTTTGTTTCAGTGGACCTAATTAACAGATAGTTGCCTTTAATTGAAGGTGCCATTAGGTGAAGTTGAAGTTTTAAAATTCATTTATTCAGCAAATATTTACTGAGTGTCTTCTGGGGATGCAGCAGCGAACAAGAAAGATGAAGGGCCAGCTCACAGAGAGGCTATAACCGGGTCCCAGAAGTACACAGCGGGTCAGAGGGTGGTACGTGAGATGGAGCCCCTTAACGCCAGGGGAAGAGAGGGCGGTTTTGGGCAGGGACGGTGAGCCCTGAGCAGGGATGCAGAGGTGAGGCCTGACCCAGGCAGGCGTCGAGAAGACTCCTGTGGGCACAGGGGAGGCTCGGTTGTTCCCTGGTTCCAGGAACAGGGAGGAAGGCACGCTGACCCGAGCAGCAAACGAGGGGAGTCTGGGTGTGAAGGTCGGAGCAGCCCCGGGGTCAGGTCTGGTTGGACCCTGTGGCCACTGCAAGGGGTGGGCTCCTGCTCTGAGGACGTGGAGCCATGAGAGGGTCCTGAGCAGAGAATGGCTTAATCAGGACATCCTGGGCTCCTGTATTGAGAATGGACTGGAGGTGGGGGCAAGGTCTGTGCCGAGAGTTCGGGACAGGGTGACAGTGGCTGGGACCCGGGTGTGAGGAGCAGCTGACCGTAGTGAGCCTGTGGCCCTGGGGGCCCGTCAGCAGGTCCTGGTGCTGAAAGCTGGGCTGCTGGATGAGGCCCCAAAGGACTGTGCCCTGGGCCTCGGCGTTGAGAGGTGGGGGCGGTGGGGACGCCGGAGAGGAGCCTGGGAAGGAGCAGCCTGGGAGGGGGGACAACCCGGACGGCAGACGTGGAAACGGCTTCACGCAGCCAGGAGCCACGAGCTGCCAGGTGCTGCCAGGCTGCCCAGCAGACTCAGTGACTGATGGTCGGAGACCTCGAGAGGGTCCCAAGTTACTCCTGAAAGTAGGGAGTTTCAAAGAACATGGCAAAGATTAAAATACTTTATAGTCTGAAGTTTTTAGAGTTTTCTATCTTAATCGAGTTGAGTACCCATGGGGTTAGGACACATTCTGGTTTCTGCACACTTTCAGGAAACACAGATTACTCCATACTTACTTATAAGATATTCTTTCAAAAATGAAGATGCCATTACAGTTCAGTAGATTTTTGAGGTTTTTTTTCATTTCTGTAGGTTTAATCAAAACCAAGCATAACTACTGTTGAGCCTCAGCTCTGTACAAAGCACTCTGCTCGGTCCTTTGCACACGTGATTTTGCGGTCGTGCAGGAGTGCAGAGATGTGCAGAGGCCGTGAGATTCTGCAGAGGGAGCCAGCCTCGAAGACAAGGCTCCGTTTCAGGAGATGGATGAGGAGGCGGTGTTAGTGTCTGCATCGGAATTGAGGAGAACGGTGCCATTCTTACAGTAGACTGGGAGGGAGGCAGAGCCTGGGGACTTGAAAGATCTGGAAGCCACAGGGCCCTAGTGGTTGACAGGAACAAGGGAGTGTGATTGTATAATTCTGAGCCCTCACGACTGAGAGGACACTGGCCTGGTTGATAGTTCCAGGCTGTTTCCCGGACAGCAGCCAGCTCAGAGAGGGGGAGATACTCAGTGGGTTCTGGACATAACTTGTAGGTTATTGAAAGTACAAGCCTAGAGCTCAGAAAAATGATTGGAGAAGGCTCTGGTTTACTGGTATCTGAAGAGTTGAAACTTGGTTTAAGTGTGAGAGGAGGAAGATAAGGGTCTAGTGAGGTCAGAGCCACGGTGGGGGAAGACGGTGGGTGACGGAGGGTCTGGGGCTGCACAGCAGTGATGAGGGACTCTCCCTGGGACACTGCCCTCCACGCCCCAGGCTGCATGCATGTCAGTCAGAAGTCCCCTTGGAGACATACATGCACTCTCCCTGCCCCACAGGTGTGTGTGTGTACACATGCACATGTGTTTGTAAGGGTGGGCTCCTTTAGGCTTGAATGAGTTTCACAAAAGGAAAGATTCACAAAAAATGAATTACATTGTCACCCGTGAGGAAGGAAATTGGGGACCAGGGTGAGAGGGAGATTTTTTGCATGTAGACCTTTTTTTTAATTTTAAAATATTGGACCACATGAATGTGGTTACCTGCTCAAACAACCAAAAGAAAAACACAGCCCAGAACTTTTACAAGAATGAGGTGGTTCTCTTGTTATTAAGCACAGTAAAACAAGGGGCGGGAAAGTGAACAGAGTAGGTTCCCACGTGTTTAAACATGTGTGTGTGTGTTAGATAGAAAGATACAGATGGCGGCACTTACTTTTCACGCAAAGCATGTTTCAGAAGTAGACCCCCACTGGTATGAGGGGTGTCTCCAGGAAGCCAGGGCGGGAAGGGAGATGGCTTTACTTTCTGCCCTTTTATCCTTTTGAAGTGGGTAACCTCAAAGTTAAGTGATTTGAAGGTCACGTTGTTTTGGTAAATGAGTTCTTGGCATTTATGGGATAACGTGGGTGGATCCTCTGCTCTGCGCTGGAAGCCGGGGGCACAGCGGGGCCCAGAGCTGGCTGGCCTGCCTGCCGTCACAGATGGGTCACGAGCTCTTGGCAGGTCTGACTCGTGGTGGGAGGCACTTCGTGGCCCTGTGTCGCCAGCCTCTTCTTGCTGGGAAGTCTCTGTAGAGAGCTGGACTTTGCCTGCCTCCCTGCCTCAGAGCTACCTCCGCCTCTTCGTTCCAGGATGCCTTCTTCAACAGAAGATAGTGCTTGTCTGCAGAGCACGCGGCAGGAGGACATGGGCTCAGAGAGAGGTGCTGACTCCGAGACAAACTCAGAAAATGAAAAGCATGGTTGGTTATTTAAAAGTTGGTCAATTGAAAATCATTAATGCTTGGAAAGTTTCTAACGTTTAGGCTTTCTCCTTTAGATGAACTACAGAGAAGGTAACATAAACCGATACTGCCTCATTTCTTATTTTTGACAGTTCAGCTTTCAGTGCTTTTTCTTTTTTGTAACTTTTTTTCCCTTTTGTCTATTTGAGGTATGATGTTTATGCAGTTACAGGGCACAGATCTGAAGTATATAGCTTATCAGAGTTTTTTTTAACATGTGTCCAGATCAAACTGTTGAACGTTTCCAGAACCCCCGTTGTCTCCCTTACACACCCTCCCCACCTGTAACCCTTCCCAGAAACCCCTGTCCCGACATCTGCCACCATCAGTTTTTCTGGAATTGGAAGCACATGATACACAGTCTTGTGGCTTCTTTCACTCAGTGTTTCTGTGAAGTTCATCCAGATTATTGCAAGTAGCAGTGGTACTCTCTTATAACCAGGTTATATTCTGATATGAATGTATTACAGTTTATCCAGTCACCTATTGATAGACCTTTACTCAAGTCTTCGGATGGAAGCTTCAGACATTTCAGACTGAGAAGTTTCAATTGCATTGTTTTAGAAAATGTTCTGTTCAGCGTTGGTTCCTTATGTGTATTGGATACTGTTCTGGAAGTCCTCTTTACTGGGGTCCGAGCAGGTTAAGACAGCAGACGTGCCTGCTCATCTGTATCCTGTGGTTACGACTATGACGCCCTTCCTAATCAGAGGATGTACCTTCCCGGTTGTTTAGCTGTAATATTTGTCAAGCAAATACTTGTTTTATTAATGTAATACTCGTTTTATTAGTTTTGCTAAGTGATGTGCATTTTAATTTTTCTAATTATTTTTTGCAGCTGGATTCTTCGGTTACTGTGAAATTTATACTCTTAGTGGTTTCTCAGCTAAAGTTGCATAAAGTGCAAAAAATACATATATATATACACATATATTATGGAGTCACATATAAATAACCTATTGTAAAATTTGACTTTTTGTACAGAAACTTCATCTGAAAACACTGGAGATGCTTCCATTAACAAAACTACAGCGCCTCTGAAAAGGTAAGCCATCACCGCACCCCGCCTCCCCTCCCTGCCGGTGAGCAAACGGTGAGGAGTGTGTGACCCTCTTCCTTTGCTTCTAGCTTCCACCCACAGATAAAGTGGTTCCAAAAGGAGGATGTCGTCATACTGAAGATAAAAATAAGGAATGTAAAAGATTACAAATGTAAATATTTTAGAGATAGAGTCGTTTTCAGGTGGGTTTATGTATATCTTTTAAAGTAAAATAGAAGTAATTTCTCACCTTGTAGGAGGCTGACTCAGCTTCTTTATGTAAATCTAGTGCCTGGGTGGGAGAGAAATTTTACCTCGCTGACATGGAGCTGCAGGCCAACATCATAAAAGATGACTGCAAATGCGTCATCGAGCATGATGAACCCATCATCACTCTTGCCAAAGAGAGGAGGGAATCCTGGCGTGGCCTGCTCAGACAGCGGGTGAGTGGAAGTCGGCTGTGCCTGGTCTGAACACCCTGAGTGTGTGTGACTGTCTCACTTAATGTCAGTTGTTATATTGAACAGAACCCCAATGTGGCTTTTGACTTTGACCACTGGGAAGACTGTGAAGAGGATAAGGATAGCCACTTCTCCAACGGTGAGACGGGGGCCCGCACTTCCTGGCAGACTTGTAGGTCCCGGACGCCCCCTAGGGGTGGACACCTCACTCGGCTGACTTTAGAAATGAGGCCTTTGTGGAAATGGGTCTGTTACTGTGAAGCCCTTAGGAATTCGTTTTCTCCTTGGGGTTGATCTCGGTGCCAAATGTTCTGGTTTGAGGAGACATCAATGCTTGGTTTATAAACATACCTTCTTATAACACTTTTACAAGTATCTCTCCTAGGAAGATAATTTATTTGTAAGCAGGAAAGTTTTACCTGCTCATTTTTTGCTTAAAATAACGAAAATAAGCCGCAAAATATAGAGCTAGAACCCAAGGGACTTTTTCTGCATTGACCAGATAATGGGGGGAAAAGATTTGCTAATTAGTCTATAATTATTAACATATTTTAAAATAATATCTAACTCTTAGTTGTAAATTCTAAAAACCTGCCCCGCAAAGCGGCACAGTTGATTGACACCAGTGACGAGTCTTCGGAGGAAGACGAGAGCGAGAGTGAATGAGACGTGAATGAAGACCTGCGGGGCAGCCAGGGGCCTCCGAACAGAAACGGACACGTGACTGAAAGCTAAGAAAACAGGCAGTCATGTTCAAAATTTTTTCATCTCAAGGGTAAATAATGGCAAAAAAATTCTTGACTGATTTGCACGTGGGCTGACGAGGAGACTGTGGAGGGAAGGTGGAAGCAGATACGCGGTGCAAGACTGGCAGCCGCGCTCGCGCCGCTTCTCCTGCGAAGCCCTCGGCACATTCAAGCGGAGGGACGGGCACGCCGTGCACGTGGGCGACGAGTTTGTTCCATCTGGAGTCAGTTTGTTTTGTTTTTTTCATTGAGGTCTGTATGTGGTGCATTCCTTAAAACCTGGTCCTGTGCATGTAAGTGGAGGTTTCTCTCTTACAGGTCATACCCTGCACTGCTTAACAGACCTTTTCAACCGCGGCTTGGTTAGTTGGGTTTCCACGTAACTGTCTGTGTGCTAGTACACCTGATAATCTCTAGATACTGACACTTACCCAAGGTAGGTTCACTTCTCGTGACAAGGCGGTCCGAGGATGAGAAGGGGGTGGCCTCAGCAAAACCAGCCCCACCCAGGGCTCCTGGGGGAAAAGCCGGTGCTCCTGAGGAAGCCCGGCATCCTGCAGGGTCCTGGGCAAACTGAGAGGCCTGTGCGGGGTGCCTGGTGCTCAGAACACCTGCGTGTGGTGAGCCCCGCAGACACTCAACGGCCCCATCCTGGGGTGAGGCTGCGGCGCCCAGGAGCACCAGGTTTATCAAGAGGCATGTGTGTTGTCAGCGCCGCCTCCCGTGAACTGAAGAGGCCAGGAGAGCTGCTGGGAGACGGACCCCCCAGCACCGCGTCCGTGGCCCGACAGCCCAGAAGTGGGAGAACGTTGACAGGACGTGACTGCTGTGACTGTCCCCAAGATCTGTAGTCATTTTATACATCAGAAGGCACAGGTGCCCACGTTTGTGTCTGTCTCGGGTGTAAACCACCACCTGAGCGAGAGGTGAATGCTGTCATCAAGCTGTCGTGTCCTGTGAGCAGGTGTGGGTCACCCTCTGGCTCTCAGTTTCCTCATCTGTAAAATAAGATACTCTGCTCCTTGTGGGGTCTTGCCTGGCCTCAGGGGGGCCCCCAGAGCACTGCGGGGCAGGTCAGGCCGCTGTCCTCTGGTGGGATGATGCAGCGTCCAGCCTGGACCACTGCTGGGAGTGCACCTTTGCTGCCCTGGGACTCCCGCGAGTGGACTGGCAGGTGTCCGACTGGCACGTGAAGTGGACGGGGAGTGACTCACCCTCCTCTTGGCTAAACTGGGCAGGCCCTTGGGAAGCGCGAAGTTCTGGTGTCTTTTCCTGGCAAAGGTTCTGACTCTGCGAAGCTCTTTTGACATCCTCATCACGGATCTGTTTCTGTAGATACAGCTTTGCTCCCGCTGGGGAGGCCTTTGGGTTGGCGGCAAGCCTCCTGAGCTGCACTGGCTTCCCCTGAGGCTGTTGGCCACCTGCAGTGTGTGCTGGGCTGTGTTGTCTCCTTTGTAAGCCGGAGCAAATGATAGTAGCGGGTAACAGAGCTGCACAAGTGTGTGTTTCCCATGTTAAGTGGGGGGGGGTGTCCCGCTCTCAGAGACGTGATGCTGATTCTCTCGTGCGGTTCACTGACAGCTGAATGAAAGTATTGGGCAGAGGAGGGCCACACATTTAAATCTCAATTTCTTTTTTCAGACATTAAAATTTACTGCAGTTTGAGGTTCTGAATAACATTTTGTAGGACATAGGACACTGACTTGTGAGATGTAAACAATTACTAATTGTCTTTTGTTCTTTACTATTAATATGTACTGATTCCATGTTTTGGGAAAACTTCTGAAATGCAGGGTAAAAGTACTTTTGTCTCTATGCTTCTAAAATTGCTCGCATACTTAGTCAATTGTGGTGTGAATGTCTTTGCAGCATATCAATAAAATTCCACTGTTCGCACAGAAATGTTACTTTTCCATTTTTTTAAGACAGTATTTTCCCTGAGTGCCAAATGCAAAATAGAATTTCATATACCACACTTTCTGGTTTGACCAAAATGCCAGAGAAAGCTGTCGGGACACTTGTGATGCTGAGCCCCTCGTGGACACAGGCTGAGGATGGTCCTGGACGGTCAGCTTTGCAGTCAGGGCCTCAGCATCCAGCCTGGGACAGACCTGCCCTGTGCATCCCCGATGAAATACAGGAGGGGTGGCCGGGGCGGGGGGTGGCAGTAAAACATTTGTACTTTAGTATTTAAAAAATCTATTTCAATCAAAGCAAGTTTCACCAATTTTATAAGAAAAATACATATATATATGTACACCTTACTGGTCACCGAGTTTCAAGAATACCCTTTATTGAAGTCGCTGTGACGTGCCCCTTGTTAAAGTCACCGCGTGGTGGTGGCCGTTCTAATTCAGCCCTTCCCTGGCCACCAGCTGGCCGCCAGGTCCCAGCCTTGCCTGCTGACTTCAGCAGACACCCGTCCAGAGAACTAAGGAGAGCTAAATCATACCACAGATACTGCTTCTAAAAATAAATTAACCACAGCATGGACTTGGCCACAGGAGGCTGGGCGTGCTACTCTGGAGCTTCCTCCGGGGGGACGACTTCCATCAGCATCTGGAGGTGCATGGTGAGGGGCCCTGGAGTGGAAAAGTGCAGTGAGAAGACTGTCCCCCACGGCTGGCTTCGCCGCGCTCATCCTTCCTCCTTGGCCGAATGTCTCTGCCAACGGCCCACACTCGGGACCCTGCTGGGCAGAGGGAGGCAGAGCATCCCTGGGAGCCACGGTGGTTCTTGGGAGAGACGTTATTTCCCATTAAAGCATTAGGAACCTACTGATTATTTTTATTGCCACCAAACCATTCGCTCCAAAGGAAAACGATGGATGACTCGATTATATGTGTGTCTTTAACTACCACTGACCAGGGTTGAGTATTTAATCTGATAGTCACTAAGCCTGTTTTGTTTAAAATGCACGTTGTTCATTCTTTTAACATCCTGAATTCCAACTTCTTACCGGTTTTTGTAGGGAACAGCTTGCCTAAATATTCTAAAGCTGAGAAAGAAGACGTAATTTGGAACTTTAGGTTGTAAGTTACCCGGGCTAGATTGTCTGTCAGTGTGATCAAATCCAAATTCATTGTCACACATGGGGAAAAGTGGCAGCTTTTCTGATAGTGATACATTTTCTTTCCTTTCTACGGTAGCGTGCCTGCAAGCCCTCTCTCAGTTTAGGGCTTAAAGAGGTTGTGGGTAGCGGGAGCTAGTTCAAGAAAGGAGAAAAGTCCTTGGGAAATAATAAAGCCATATTTTGGTTTTGGTTTCACTTTGTTAATCAGCAGGAAACAGATTCATTCTTGTTTGTAACACCGCTGTCAGGTGAGGGGTGGTACCAGATTGCACAGGTGAGGACATGGAGGAGGGAGCTGGCTCAGTCGCAGGGCCCAGCTTCTCCACCTTGCAGTTGGGTTTCACTTTTTGGTACCTTGTATGTCCCTCTGAGTTGCATGTAAAAAAACAAAACCCCCAAACCAAAAAATACCCCACAGAGGCTTGCCTAAAGGGACGCCTGTACTTCCCTGTTCAGACGAGCTGAAGGAGAAAGGATGAGGCAGATTTTTTAATCACATTTACTCAGTATTAAGTGGCTGTTGGACAGCCCAGTTCCTGCCTCCAGTGAACTCAAAGTTAAGGTAGGGAGACCAGGCGAGGCCAGGCGGTGGGTCACGGTGGGCCTGGGGAGGGGCGCGGGAGTCTGGCAGGCCTTGTGAGCGAGCGCCCTGCAGTCGGCTGTGCCGTGTGGGGTGACACGCTGTGACTATGACACACACTTGGGGACTTCTGAGCCTCTGCTGTACTTTGCCATCCGTGCTTGGCTAACGTAACTAAACTTTTACGCTTTTGTCCTAAAACAGATGAGGGACCAGCACTGCTGAGCAAAAGGCAAGAGCTGCAGCCTTGTTGGAAGGCTCAGGCCCTTGTGCCAGCTCTGTTTTTGGGTGTCTCTGGGATGCTGCTGGGCCCCTCAGATGATGCCTGTGTATCAGGCAAAGGCAGGCGGTGCTCTGGAGATGGGATGGACACTGACACGAATGTGTATTATCACTACTGAACTGTACACTTAAAGATGGTTACGATGGTTATGTGTAAATTACATTTAAAGAAAGGAAAAAAAATGGTGCTATCTCTTCCTATTTGTTACTGGGATTGATGGGAACAAAAGAAGAGGCCACAGTGGACCCAGAGGTATCACACTGAGGGGAATGGGTCACAGGTCCTCCCAAAGAGGAAGTGAAATTTGTTAGCTGCGTGAGCTCCTGTGATAAGCCGGCCCTGGAGGGATCAGGACAGGTGAGGCTGCGGGGGGCTGGGCCTGACCTGCTGCAAAGCCATCCCTCCACCTATACTTACTTGAGATCTTCTGAGCCCATCGAAACTTATAGTGGACGAAAAGGAAGTAAAACAGAAGGCCACTGAGTATGAATAACACACAGTAGAGATACTCCCATGCAGGCTGGGTGATGATTGGAGCCAAAACCAAAAACACGGATAAGAGAGTCACCAAGATGGGGATGAAAATGGGCACCTGCAGGCAAAACAACATGGTGTCATGATTTGGCCACATGCACTTGTCTTTTTGTAAATTTTCATTCAGAACAAAACACCGATATAGAAAGAAGAATATAATGAACTCCGTGTGCCCCTCCTCCAGTCTCAGTCATTTGTAAGTAAAATTACCACTTATTTCATCTATTTTTTTCTTTTCTCTAGAATATTTTTTTTAAATGCCATCCTGTCATTTTATGTGTAAAAGTCAGTTTGCGCCTCTAATGGATGACAACTTTCTGTTTATAACATGTTTGTTCCCTCTTCTCTTTATCTTGCTATTAATTTGTTGTAGGAATTGGACGGTTTACCTATACAAGGTCTTCATTCTAGCTTTGCCTGACAACTTGCTCCTCTGTCCCCTCTGCTTCCTGTCAGCTGGTGGCTAGATTGGAGGCAGGAGTACTTTGTAGCTGGAGCAGTGCACTTCCTCTTGTAACACGTCATGAGGCGTGTAAGGTCTGAACATCACCTGAATCTCTAAACTCAATCATGGTTTCAGGGGAGGAATCCAATGCCACCAGATCTGGATTCCCCCATTCCTCCAGGGAGTTGTTCCCTTTTGGTAGGAAATGGTTTTTAGAATCCATAATCCACGGGATTGGAGTGCTCAGTGTTCTTTTTGCAAGAACAGAGATAGTTTTTTTTTTTTAAGAAGGGAAAAACATTCATCAATTTTAAACTGATAGTTCTGACTTAAATGTGAGATTGTGCTTCCTTCCTTTTCTTTATTTAGACTTACATCTTTTTTCTTTATGCTTCTGAAAATCTTAATGGCTTCAACATAATTATTTTCTTTATCTTACAATGTACCTATAATGAACTTGAAAATAACCATACCAATACTGCTACTATCAGCAATAGTGTCAAGTTCAAGGTTTTTTTTGCAGTTCTTTTTAAACCACAGAGTATAAGCCACTAGGGAGATCCATCCAAATCCCCACACTTTAATATCAGTTGTAGTAATTATGTTCCCTGTGTGGTTATGTCATGTACTTGTCATAAAGTAAGGTTTCTTTATCCCCACTTGTTTTCAGTTTTTAGGGATTTGATTGTTCCATTTTATATTTAATTTTTAAAAATACTGTTACTTTTTTCTTGATTTTTGCTTTCATTCTTCCCTTAATTCTTTTTGAGAATAAACACACCTCTGTGCACAAATGTGCATAGAACTGTTCATCTCCGTCTCGCTCATACAAAAGGTAGCAAATGCATAAAAGACTGTTTTGCATCAGTTTTGTTTCTTTCCATTAATATATTCCAGAGACAACGTCATAGTGCTATATAAAGTTACTCATCCATTTTTTTTTAACTGCTGCATACCACTCTGTGGATGTTCCAAAATGTATCCAACCCATCTCCCTTTGACATTTGGGTTGTGTTGAGCTATTACAATCAATGCTGCAATAAATAACTTTGTATATTTTATATTTGGTCCATTTCACTTCGGGCTAGATTGCCTCAAATGGGGTGTGGCTGGGTCAAAAGGTAAATGCATGTCTAGTTCTGCTGGGTGCCCCAGGTGTACCTCCATAGGGCCATCCCGTTTGTAATCCTCTAGCGGTATGTGAGAAGGCTGTTTCCCCAGAGCATCACCAGGGGAGTGTGGCCAAACTGTGGGATTTCTGCCCATCTGACAGGCAAGAAATGATATCTCATTAGAATTTTGGTATGCATTGTCTTGTTAGGAACAAAAGTGAGTTTGCTGGGGTTCATTTGTTTCATGTTGAAGTTTTCCTTTGAACTTTCTTTTTTTAATATCTTTTGTCCATTTATATTTATTGTCCATTTCAAATGTTAGTAACTTCCATTTCAATTTTTAGGAACTTTAAATTAGGGATCTTGGTCCTTTTTTGTGATATTACTGCACATATTTTCCCCATTATATTATATTTATGTGTTTTCAACTTTTTTTAATAGATAAATTTTTATTTTATTGGGGTTATGGTTGCCCCCTTTTTTATTACTTCTGGATTTTGAGTCATAGGAAGGGTCCTCCCCATTCTTGGATTACTAAGTAATTATGTTCATGCATCAACACCATACTTAAATTTTAGAACCTTTAGATTTTGATATTTTTCTCATTTTTTTTTTACTGGCTATTCTTACTAGTTTCTTCAGTATGAACTTTATAATCAATTCATCTAACTCCAGAAAAAAAATTAGACGGTGTTTTTTATTGCAATTGCATTAAATGTCTAAATTAAGGAACAGTGACACTTGTGATGTTGAGTCTGCCTATCCAAAAACATGTACAGATTTCCATCTATTCAAGTTACCTTTTCTGTCTTTGAAGAGAGTTTTACTTTTCCAGTGAGTCTAGAGGGGAGGGTATAGCTCAAGTGGTAGAGTGCATGCTTAGCATGCATGAGGTCCTGGCTTCAATCCCCAGTACCCCCATTAAAAAAAAATAATAATAAATAAACAGACCTAGTGAGCTCCACTGAGAGGTCTAACCTCTTGTTAAGTTTATGGCTAGGGGTCTTTTTAATTTTTTCTTTTTGGGATCAGGTGTTCTCTTTCACTGTCTTTTCACTGGATTTCATTTTGTAAACAGGCTATCGATTTCAGTGTGTTAATTTCACATCATTACTTTATTATGTATTTTTTCTTTGATCCTTTTGGGTTTTCCAGATGTACAATTCTATTTTCTTTGAAAGGAGAAGGCTTGAGAGACTTTTGAACGTCTTTTCTAACCTTCATGCTGCACACTGCTTTCTCCTGTCTAACTGCCTTGCTAATATCTTCAGGACAGTGTTAAATAGAAATAGAAGGAAGGCATTCTTGTCTTCATCTAAGTACAGATCTCTCTAGTGTTACCTTATCAATTTAATTGCTTTTTGCCGTAGGGTGTGTGTGTGTGTGTGTGATCATGCCAAGGAAATTGTTATAAATTCCTACTTGTATCCTCACCAGTAATGTATCTTGAATTTTATCTGGTTGTCTTTGGTATCTGTGGGAGGTAATTATAGGGGTTTTCACCATAGGTCTAGTAATATGATGAATTATATCCACCATGAATTAAATTCATAATTAATGGATTTCTAATCTTTACCCATCCTTACATACACTTCACTTAATCATGATATGTTTTTGATGTAATTGGATTCTATTTGTTAAATAATTTTATTGAAGATTTTTATATTAATATTCAAAAGTGAGATTGCTCTTTTTTCTCTTTTCCCTTTTTTTGTGCTATCTTTGCGAAGTTTGGTATCAGTGTTATAGTCCATAAAAATAACTTGAAAAAATCCGTAAAACAACCTATAACTAACCTAAAAACAAAGAAAGCAAAACACACAAATAAGAAACAAAAATGGGAAATAATCTCCAGTACAAGGTTTTTTAAAATCATAAACTATTTTATACAACTCTATACAAATAAATGCAAACCCCTAGATGAAATGGACAGTTTTCTACAAAAATATAGTTTACTAAAACTAGCCCCAGCAGAATCAGAACTCATGGAGAAATTCTAAAAATCAGATAATCCAATTAAGGACCTTAAGTTCTTTCTTTACGTTTATTAATTCCTTCTACATTCTTTTGGTTTTCTTTGTTCTTTCTCTGGCCTTTTGAGTTGCCTGTTTACTTGTTTTCATTTTTATTGATATAAGTGTTTAATGTAGTGGAATTTCTTTAAAGCACCGATCATAGATTATGTCTTGTTTTCATTGTTATTTTTAGGAATTTATGTACTTTCATTTCCTGTTTCCTTTTGGATTGAGAAGTTTAATTTTTAAAATTTCCTGTTTTATTGCATTATAGAGAATGTGATTTGTATTATTTCTAATTTTTTATCAAGGTTTTCCTTTGTGGCATTAAAGATTGTCAATTTCAGGCATGTCCCATATGCACTTGAAAAAGTGTGTTTGATATTTTGGGGATTGAGCTTGATACGAATCTCTAAGATGTACCTTGTTATATATATTTTTCTAGATTTTCTGTCACTTTTACTAGTGATGTGCCTCGATCTGTCTTGGACTGAGAGAGGTGTTTTAAAATCTCCTATTAGTGTGCATGTCTGTTTCTCCTTGTATTTCCTATAGTTTCTGCTTCGTAAAAATGATTACTATGTGGTTTGGTGAATAGGTTTTCATAACTGTTAACTCTTTATTGTGAATTTTAGCCTTTAGCATTACTAGATGGTCTTTGTCTTGTGCTGGGGCCTGAGTGCTTGTCTGATAAGGTCACAACCCCTATTTTCTGTGTATTTTCATTTGCTTGGCATTTCTTTGCCTATCCTTTTATTTTGAATTCACAGCTTTGTAAACATGCCTGAAAAAAATATTTAATGGCTGATTTAAACCCATTTAAACTGCATAAGCCAATTTACTTATATAACTGGCAAGTCTGGTCTCCATAATTTTATATTTCTATATACAGGCATCTTTTACTTACTGTCAATTTTCTGCCCTTAAAGAATGACATTCTATGGGGAGACTTTGGCCAGGGGCTACTTCCTTTATTTTAAGTGGGAAAATTTACATATCAAATGAAACTCCAGATTTCCAACCAGTGTTTTCAAATATAACGAAAAGCTAATAAGTGTATATGTTATCTCCAACCTGTATTATACCTGGAAGTAAACTGCTTAAAAAATGATTTCCTTGTGATCAATTAGTATGATTTTTAGTAAATGGTTACCTTTAATGCAATAACATGTTTCCCAATATCTGAGACACACATGCCTCACATTTATTAGTATGCCTACAGGTGATACTGACTTGGGTTGGATTTGGAATGCCATTTGAAACCTTTCTCACACATGTATTAAAAATAGTGTTGCATTTTGGGAATTCAAATATTCATTTTTTCCCCCATGTGATTATCAGCTAGAAATGAGAGTATTAAATGATTTGTAGATTCTATAAAGTTTCGGGATGTTAAAAACGAATAATCAAAAAACAGCAGTAATAGAAAAAAAACCCTAATAAGCATTCTACCAAGAAAATATCACCCAGGAAAATATGCTGATTTGTCTTCCTATTGAAGTGTTTATATGCAGGTTCTTTTATGAACTGGCCTTTTGTGTGTATGTGTGTGTGCACTTACTTGTTCTGGATACATTTTTTGGTATCTATAAATACTGGTTTTATCCTGAGAGTTACAGTAGATATAATACCCTGGGCTTCTCTTTTTCAGATTGTCCGTAATAAGCAGCAATGAAATTAGCTAGGAATTCTTCTCTTTCCCCCGCATCTGCCTTTAATGGATTCGTAAGACAGCTCTCGGGCATGTTTTCCTTGTCCGGCATACTCTCACCCACCTTCTCTTCCATTTTCCTTGTATGACGTTGTCAGTCCTTAACGTTTACGCCCTGTTTTGCTACCTTTATCTCTCATCATTCAGTCTTAGTTCTTTGACTGAATATATTCACCTTGCGCTGATGACTTTCTGGTTTCTGAAGTTCATTCTCTAGTGATTCCCTAGGAAGGAAGGTCTCATACAATGATACATGCCCTTGAGTTCTTTCATTGGTAACTTTATTCTTCAGGGTCAGTTTGACTGGATATAAAATATTTAACTTACATTTTTTTCCTTGAATATCTTAAGCATGTTACCCACTGCCTTATGGTGTGAAGTGTTGCTGATTATATTATTTTCTTTCCATTATAAGCGAACGGGGGTGGAGGAAGACAGGAAAGAGGAGATGGATACCCAAAGCATTTTTTTTAAGCTCCACAGTTTTATCAGAATATGTTTCTTTGTTGCCCATCCTGGCTCAGATTTCTCAGTTACACTGTATGCCTTTCAGTCTGTTGGTTCAAGTTCCCCCTCCCTTTGTGGTCCCCTCTCCTACCTCAGGAAATGTCTCTTGAGTCATAACTTTTAAGGATTCTGTTACTTTCATTTTTGTCTTCAGGGACTCCAATTATACACATGTTAATCTCTTTTTCTCCGTCTCAGTTATTTCCTCTCAAATCCTTTTAATTTCTGTCTGAGAAACTGTGCAGGTTTAAAAATCTATGCTACTATCATCATGATTTTGCCTGCTGGATGCTTGACTGAGGTGGAGCTGCCTAATGCCAGCAGTCTGCTCCAGGTCTCAGCTGAGTTCGGGGACTTGGGGATAGTCGTGCCAGAAATACTTCTAACCAAATTTATGAAACAAAATTCTAAAGCTGAAGACATTATTTTTGTCCTAATTGCTGAAGCCCTCCACTTGCCTACCTTTTTCTTACATCTGTACTTGTCATTATCATAAGAATAAATAGCATGTTTTTAAAGCAAAAAAAGCCCCTAACGTTAACGAAACAAAATACATTCTTCTTCCTCAATGGTATGTGGACCCACAGCAGCCACGGAGAGAGGTGGGAAGGACCCCAAATAGACTGCAGAGGTGGACTGTTAGTGGTTATGTGCACAGGAGTGGGCCTGGGCCAGAATCAGAGGTCCCCACCAGCCCACAGAAAGTGCGTGCATGAGAGATCTCAGAATCAGACATCTCGCTTCAGTTAGAGAGACAGTTCACAGGTATTCTTGATAACCTTAATAAATTAATAATGAGATGGCTGACTGGATCAAAAACTATAATATAAAGTGAACTGAAGGGCAAACTCCACTCTAAAATGTGATATTCAAGAGAAGAGTCAGGTTGGGACTAGAAAACTTGCTCCTAGAATTTAAAAGTTACCTCTACCTAATTCATTGCAAGAACTCAAAGCCACCTGTGACCCCTGGGGCGCTAGACCTACCTTGATAGGCCTTTCCAGCTCTTTCCTTGTAAACCTCATCACAATCAGTCCAAAGATCGTCAGGCCATAAAACAGCCATGCAGCAAAACTGAAGTAATTGACTAATGAGTTTATGTCCCCAGGGATGATATAAATGGTTGCTATGATGCCCTGGAAGAAAGAAGAAGGAATTCTTAGGTCATTAGTACCTGAAAACATTGTACTTACCACTTCACAAAAGACGGAAGAAGCAGTTTTTCCTGTGGCCAAACACCTTCATGTGAAGGAAATCTCCAATGTGTCCCATTATATTTGGGGTTGACCCAGACTTTGGCTGTGACAGGTGTTCTCTTTGAGGCGGGATGGAAAGAGCTTGGAAAATCTGTGGCTCTTTGAAGTTGCGGTTTTAAGCAGGGGAGAAACAAAATGTGTATGTCTATTGCACCAGCTTCCTAATTATGAATTTTCCTTCCAGAGAGTTTTCATCACAGGAAAGGGCCTTGCACTGTAAAACCGGGCTGTCTAGGTCTGGTCTTGACTGCATTATCTGCATGGCTCCGGACTTGTAATTCCAAGAGCCTTGTAATTCTGGGTCTGTTTTACTCATCTTCAAAGGGAGTAGGTTGACAGAGACTAAGGGGCTTTCCTCTGGGGATGGGAGGAAGAGTCTGGCCCTGAGGATGGTCCATAGGTGCCCAAGGCAGTTGCGCACAATCAAGGGTCATCCCCCACAAAAAAACCCAATCAGAAGGTGTCAAAGGGCCTTTACTTCACAAGGATCCCACAGACTTCTGAATTAGTGGACCATAATGAGACGCTGTTGTCAGTAGCCACCTTGAAAAATGCCTTCTCCTCCTTCCCCATAAGCTAGTGGGTTCTTGTATGGTCTGTTACCACAGATCTAGAACATACAAATGTGCATGAAGGACATGTAGAGGGCATAAGCTTGAAGATTCAGTGACTTTCATGGATAAATTCAGAACAAGGAGCAAAAGTTGTAAGTTATTTGAATTGTCTTGAAATTTTTAATGTACCTGTTTATATACCCGAGGACTAGGGGCACCTGGGTCATTTGAAAATCACAGGGCTTAGTGATCAGGTTTGTTTCATCATCCAAACTGCGGAACCTCTGCCTTAAGGGGTGTTTTCATGGCAGAATTCATACTTACATAAAAGATGATGGCCGGGGCTGGAGTGAGGCGCTTGACACTAACATAAGAGAGGACTTTAAGCATGTGGCCTTCCCGGCTTGCAACGTAAACAAGTCTGAAAAGGCAGGAATAAGGAAGTTAGTCGATGTGAGTGCAGGCTGCAGTACCATCACCCAGCAAGTGTGTCCTGAGCGTTGCTGCTGAGGCCAGAGAGAAAGGGACTGAGTTGTGACCCTGCTGTCATCAGGTAGGAGTCCAGCCTCCTGAGGTGACTGAGTTTTACAGAAGTAAGTGAGATGGTTAAATGCATCTTAGAGGAATGCAGCCTGTTGCAGTAGGGTCACCTGAGGGCACTGGGGAGGCAATTTCAAAGAGGAGATACCTGATCTGTGTCCTGAAAGTTATGCAAGAAGCAAATGTAAAAACTAGTCCAGGGTCTATGGACCCCAGTGCTTACCTCACCACCTCCCCTAAGAACTTCTGATTATTCAGGAATCTGAAAGGCTATATTTAAAATGTTAAAGAAAAAGGGAAGGAGAGCTAAACAGAATTCCTAAAAAACAAAAAGTTACTATAATTAAAAATTTAATCAACAACAGATAAATTAGATACAAATGAAAAGAAAGCTAGATCTGGGTATGATGCATAGAGAAATGGAAAGTGTAGAGAGGAAATTAAGAGAAGAAACAGAGGAAGACGTTCAAATATATTGAATGGTGTAAGACAAGTTCAAAGAAGAGCAGAGAGACTTCAAAGAGCTGAAAAATCCTGAGCCTTCAAATTGAATCCAGTTCTAGACGAATAAAAACATGCCCAGATATAAACATTATAATGGAAAGTAAAAATCAAAACAAAACTTCAAGATACCAAATTTAAAACGTTAACTGCAAAATTAGGACTAATCAGAATGAGAATTAACACTTTCAAAGTGATGGAAGGAAATTGATTTTCAGATTAGAATTCTGCATAGCTAAATTATCATTCAAGACTACTGGCAAAATACATTTTTAGATAATAACTACAGATAGTTACTGTTCTTTAGTCCTCATGAAAAACTATTAAAAAGTCTACTCCAACAAAAAAGGACTCAGACAAAAGTTGAATTCAGAAGGAGTTGACTGAAGAAGCAATGCTAAGGAAAGATGAGTAAAACATGTTAGTATGTATATAAGTATTGGATTTTTAAATTTCTGTCATGACAGACTTTTATTTTTAGGAGGGTTGGTTTGGTTTGCAAACAAGAAGTAGCTGATATACAAGATGATATGAAGGGGAGAGTCCTCAAGAGATGGAAGAGAACTGAGCCAGTTATAGACTGTATTAGGTATTCATGTTAAAATTTAAAGGTAACTGCTAAAAGAATAGAAATATAACTTCCACCCACATCAGCAGAAGAAAAACAGGGATAAATGAAATTTGATGGTTAATAAATCAGGGTAAGATTTTTTTAAGCCAACATAACACAAAGGAATAAGTTAGAAATTAATCTAGCTGTAACAGTAATCACATCAGTTGTGATAAGATTCCACTTGCCCAGCTGGAGGCTTTCAGGTCAGGTTTATTGGAAGAGACACAAGCCAAAACCCATGACACTGAGAAGTAGATGATAAAAGGGAAGGGACATGTTACCAAGAGCAGCAGTCTAAAAGACAGCAATATCAATATCAGAATAGAATTTACAGCAAAAAGAAGGAGAATTCCTACTGAAAAAGGGGACAGTCTGCAAGAAGATATACCTAACAGGAGCCCTTGTGATTACACATTAAAGGTGGAAAATCAACCTTTATCAAAGCTAGTAGGAAGGTTAAAAGACAAACATAGTACAATCATTTGTATCAACAGTGAATAAATCAAAGAGGAAATTTTAAAAATACCTGGAGACAAATGAAACTGAAAACACAATGATCCAAAATCTATGGGATGCAGCAAAAGCAGTTCTAAGAAGTTCATAGTGATACAAGCTCACCTCAGGAAACAAGAAAAATCTCAAACAACTGAACCTTACACCTAAAAGAACTAGGAAAAAAAACCCCAAAATTAGTAAGAAGGAAAGAAATCAAAGATCAGAGCAAAATTAAGTGAAATAAAGACTAAAAAAAAAAAATAGAAAAGACCAATGAAACTGAGAGCTGATTCTTTGAAAAGATAAAATCAATAAACCTTTAGCCAGACTCATCAAGAAAAAGGGAGGGCCCAAATCAGTACCCTCAGAATTGAAAAAAGAAAAGTTACAACCGACACCACAGAAATACAAAGGATAATAAAAGATTATTATGAATAATTTTATGCCATTAAAATGGACAATCTAGTAGAAATATACACTCTCCCAAGACAGAACCAGGAAGAAATAGAAAATATGAACAGACTAATTACCAATAATGAAATTGAATCAGTAATTTTAAAAACTCCCAACAAACAAAAGTCCAGGACCAGATGGCTTCACAGGTGAATTCTACCAAACATTTAGAGAAGAATTAACACTTATCCTTAAACTGTTCCATAAAATTGCAGAGGAATGCTTCTGAACTCATTCTGTGAGGCCAGCATCACCCTGATACCAAAACCAGACAAAGGTAGCATCCACACAAAAAATTACAGGTCAATTTCATTAATGAACATAAATACAAAAATTCTCAACAAAATATTAGCAAACTGAATCCAACAACACATTCCATGATCAAGAGGGATTCATCTCAGGGATGCAGGGATGGTTCAATATCCACAAATCAATCAGTGTGATTCATCATATTAACAAATTGAAGAATCAAAGCTATGCGATCATCTCAGTAGATGCAGAAAAATCTTCTGACAAAATGCAATATTCATTTATGATTAAAAAAAACTCTACAGAAAATGGGTATCAACATAATAAAGGCCATATATGACAAACCCACAGCTAACATCATACTCAGTGGTGAAAAGCTGAAAACATTTTCTCTAAGATCAAGAACAAGACAAGGATGCCCACTCTCACCACTTTAATTCAACATACTATTGGAAGTCTTAGCCACAGATATCAGACAAGAAAAAGAAATGAGGAATCCAAATTGGAAAAGAAGAAGTAAAACTGTCACTTTTTGCAGATGTGATATACACAGAAAATCCTAAATACCCTACAACAAAACTACTAAAACTCATCAATGAATTCAGTAAAGTTGCAGGATACAAAATTAATACACAAAAATCTGTTGCATTTCTATACACCAACAATGAGCTGTCAGAAAGAGAAATTAAGGAAACAATAGCACTTATAATTGCATCAAAAAGAATAAGATTCCTAGGAATAAAATTACCTAAGGAGATAAAAGACCTATACTTAGAAAACTATAAGACACTGATGAAATAAATTGAAGATGCCACAAATAGATGGAAAGATATACCATGTTCATGGATTGGAAGAACTAACATTGTTAGAATGACCATACTACTCAAGGCAATCTACAGATTCAGTGCAATCCCTATCAAAATACCAACAGCATTTTTCATAGAACTAGAACAAATAATTTTAAAATTTGTATGGAAACACAAAAGACCATGAATAGCCAAAACAATCTTCAGAAAGAAGAATAGAGCTGGAGATATCTATGCTCCCTGACTTCAGACTATACTAAAGCTACAGTAATCAAAACAGCATGGCACTACCACAGAAACAGACACATAAATCAATGGAATGGAAAAGAGAGCCCAGAAATAAACTCACATACTTATGGTCAATTAACTCTACAACAAAGGAGGTGAGAATATAAAACGGAGAAAAGACAGTCTCTTCACGAAGTGGTGATGGGAAAACTGGACAGCTACATGTAAAATAATGAAATCAGAACATTTTCTCATGCCATATATAAAAATAAACTCACAGTAGATTAAAGTCCTAAATGGAAGACCAGAAACCATAAAAATCCTAGAAGAAAACATAGGCAGAACACTCTCTGACATAAAATTATAGCAATATGGTTTTGGATTTGTTTCGTAAGGCAAAAGAAACAAAAGCAAAAATAAACAAATGGGACCTACAAGCTTTTGCAAGCAAAGGAAACCACTGACAAAACAAAAAGACAACCCACTGAATGGGAGAAAATATTTGCAAATGGTATGACCAGTAAGGGGTTAATATCCAAAATATATAAACAGTTCATACAATTCAACATCAGAAAAACAACCTGACTAAAAGCTGGGTGGTATTTTTTCCAAAGAAGACATACAGATGGCCAATAGGCACATGGAAAGAAGCTCAACATTGCTAATCATCAGAGAAATGCAAATCAAAATCACAATGAGATATCATCTCACAGCTGTCAGAATGGCTAGCATCAAAAAGACCACAAATAACAAATGTTGGCAAGGATGTGGAGAAAAGGGAACCCTTATACACTGTTAGTGGGAATGTGAATTGGTGCAGCCACCATGGAAAACAGTATGGAGGTTCCTCAAAAAACTAAAAATAGAACTACCATACGATTCAGCAATTCCACTCCTGGGTATATATCTGAAAAAAAACATATACATAATTCAAAAAGATACATGCACCCCAATGTTCAAAGCAGCATTATATACAATAGCCAAGATATAGAAGCAATCTAAGTGTCCATCAACAGATGAATAGATAAAGAAGGTGTGGTATATATATACAAAGGAATACTACTTAGCCATAAAAAAGAATAAAAGTTTGCTATTTGCAACAATGTGGATATACCTGGAAGGTACTATGCTTAGTGAAATAAATCATGCAGAGAAAGACAAATACTGTACATTTTTACTTATATGACAAATCTAAGAAACAGACTAGTGAATATAACAAAAAAGAAACAGACTCACAAATTAAGAGAACAAACTGGTGGTTATCAGTGGGGAGAAGGAAGAGGGAAAGGGTAAGGAAGGGCTAGGGGGTTAAGAGGTACAAACTACTATGTATAATATAACTTTCAAGGATATATTGTACAACATAGAGGATATAGCCAATATTTTATTATAACTATAAGTGGACTGTAATCTTTAAAAATTATGAATCACAACATTGTATACCTCAAACTTATATAATATTGTAAATCAACTATACCTAAATAAATTATTAAAAAAACAGAGCTCTTGAAATACAGAAGGCAAAACTTGACAAATCCACTATGAGAGCATAAAATTTGAACTGTCAAGGTAGAAGCTTAAAGATAACATAAAAATCTATAAGAAGTTAGTAGAATACATGTTATTTTCAGGACCATGGGAAACATTTATACAAATGGCAGTAAGTCACGAGGGAAGTCTTAAAACTTCTGAAGTAATATGGTAAAGGTCACGTGCTCTGAGGACAATACAGTGACGTTAGGAGCCATGAATACAAAGGCCAAAAGGCCAGTTTTTTAAAACTACATATTTGAACTTTGAAAAGACGTAAGCCTGGTATTAAGTCAATTCCCAGAACAAGTCAGTGCAACTGGGAGGAAAGGAGTTGCTACACGGAGGGGATACTTAGACCAAAGATGATGCTGTGAATTCACTTTCAGCTCCATCAGTCAAACCAATATATAAATTCCAGGCACTCAAAATGCAAGCAGGACTTCTGGAACTTGACAAAATTACTGTAAGTGAGTCCTACCAGGTTTTACATTGCTCAAACTGTGAAACATGTCGTAAGTAGGTAATAGCACAGGAAAGGACCTATCAGTGACACAAAGTGGACCAATTAGATTGGAATGATAATGACGGCATTTCAGACCAGTAGGGGAAAGGGTGGACTATTCTACAAATAATATTAGGACAACAGGTGAAGGTTTGGGAGAAAAAAAGTGAGATTTATGCCTCACATCAGGATGATTCCCAGATTGATCAAAGAGCTAAAGTAAAATGCTAGAAGAAAACATAGGTGGGTATTATTGAAAGTAGAGAGGGAAGTGTGTCTGTGTGAGATAGAAAACTCAGAAACCAGTAAGTAAAAATCTTAGATTTGACTCCATCAAAACGATACCCAACATAATTCAATATAGTTCAAGGCCCTGGCCAACCCCCAAGCTGAACAGGTATATTATACAAAATTAACTCAAAAATGGATCATATAAGTAAATGTAAGAGCTAAACCTAATTAACTTCTAGGATAAAACAGAAGAGAACATCTTTGTAACCTTGCATTGGGCAAAGGTTCTTAGATATGGCAATGAAAGCATGACACATGAAAAATAAAACTGAGAAACAGGACTTTGTCAAAGTTAAAAACACTGGAGTTCAAAACACCATTAAGAAAATGAGAAGATGAGCCATAGATTAGGAGATATTATGTGCAAATCAGATACCTGATAAAGGACTTGGATCCAGAATATATGATGAGCGTGTACAACTCAGTATAGGATAACAAGAAGCCCACTTTTTAAAAGGAGCAAAAGACTTGAATAGCTATTTTACCAGAATATATGTGAATGGCTAATAAGCACACGAAAATATACTCAGTATCATCAGTCATTAGGGACATGTGAATTGAAACCACAATGACATACCCAGTAGAATGACTTTATGAGGCTGACGTGCTGCCTGCTGCGCTAAGAAGGCACTAGAATAGAATGACTTTAATCAAAAAGATAATACCAAGTGTCGGTGAGGATGTGGAGAAACTGGAACTCTCATGCATCGCTTATAGAAATTAAAATGGAGTAACCACTTAGAAAGCAGGTAAGCTGTTCTCTAAAAGTTAGTAACAAAGTTACTATATGACCCAGCAATTCTAGTCCTTGGAATCTACCTGAGGGAAATGAAGACATATGTCCACACAAAGACATACACAGGAATGCTCACAGCAGCATTATTCACAGTAGCCCAAACTGGAAACAGTCCAAATGGCCATTGGCTGGTCAATGAGAAAATGAAGTGTCCATCTATAAAATGGAATGCTATCCAGCAATTAAAATGAATGAACTGATACCTCCTATGACATTGATGAACCTCAAAAATAATATGCTAAGTGAAAGAAGCCAGAGGCAAATGAGATATCACATCATTCCATTTAGATGAAATGTCTAGAAAAAGCAAAGCCATAGACACAGAAGCAGATTAGTGGTTGCCTAGAGCTGGAGGTGGGAGGGGAGATTAATAAAAGCAGGTGTGAGGGAACTTTTTGGAATGATGGAAATATTCTCGAATTGGATTGTGGTGTTTGCACAGCTTTATAAATTTACGAAAATCACTAAATTGCAGAATTACAAAGTGAGTTTTATGGTATTTATATCTCAATAGGGTTGTTTAAATTGTGTTTCTATATACCTGCAACAAACTATCAGAAACTGAAAAGTTTTTACATTTTTTGAACATACCATTTACAATAGCATGAAAAAGTATGAAATATTTCAGGGTAAATCTGACAAACTATGTGCAAGAACTGCATACTGAAAGTTGCTACTAAAAAAAGCACTTTAAAAAAATTAAAGAAAATCTAAATAAACGAGGAGATAGTCCACACCCATAGATTGGAAGAATTGATACTTTCAAGATGCTGGTCCTCTCTGAGTTGATCTATAGATTCAATGCGCTTCTGATCAAAATCCCAGAAGGCTTTTTTTGTAGAAATTGACAAGCTGATTCTAAAATTCAGATAGAAATGTAAAGAATCTAGAATAGCCGAAACACTTTTAAAGAAGTGAGAGGACTAGCACTAAGGGATGATTTTGTCGTATATATTTCATTTTTCAAGTGTAAACATTTGGCAGTTTCACTCTCAGAACTATATTTACTCAGAACACTGGATAGGTGGGCAAAGACCAGTTCACAAGTGTTCGCTGCCGCAGTGCTTATGAAAACCACCCGCACTCAGCCCATGAGTGGAGGTGATGTGAAATTATGCTACGTCATGAAGTGGAATCCAACACAGTTGCTGTCTCCAGACTGGTAGGAGCCAGAGGCTCGGCCGGGGCTGGCAAACTGTGCCTGTCTATGTAAATAAGGTTCCAGTGCAACACGACCATGGCTGGTTTCCTTTCATGCTGCAAAGACAGAGCTGTGTGGTTGTGACAGACTTACATGGCCTGCAAGCCTCAAATCTTTCCTATCTGCCCCTAAAGGAGAGTTTGCCAATGCCTGATCTAGACTGTGTATGTATCAACATGAGACGATGTTCAAGGAAGCTCATTAGGTGAAAATTCCCATAGGCAAACCTCTCTCTCCCTCCCGGCACCCCTGCCCCCATCCCCGGTCCCCCGTCGGTCACTGAGCCCCGCCTTGCCCCGGGACCCCACCAGGCCCAGCGCCCGTGCCAGTCCGCGCAGGCTTTCTGGTCCCAGTGGGCGCTGAGGGCTTAGTCTGGCAAAGCCCCGAGGACCTTGTAGCCGGGGGTGGGTGCTGGGCCCTACCTGCCCGAAGTAAAGCAGGTCCCATTAGCAGCTCCGATGGTCGAAAATGCCACGAAGAGTGGAACGACCCAGGAAGCGGGGTACAGGACGCGGTCACCAAACGTCTGCGAGAGAAGCCGGTGAGTCCTGAGACTGAGCGCGCCCCAGGATCCATGGACCCTGCAAGCAGCTACGCCCCCGACCCCCGATGGCCCAGGCCCCAGGAATGGGCTCCAAGACGCTGCCTCTGGAGCGAGAGGAAAGGTGGAGAGCCAGTCGGGGAAATGATGGCCTCGCTCCTATGCCGATGCTGATGGTGATGCAAACCTCTTCTCCACCACCCCCTGTCGTACCTCACTGGGGCGCTACATCCCCTGACACCCCTGCCTCTCCCTCACCCGGAATGACCTGGTCTCCCTCCCACCTGAGCCACCTGTTCTCCCGTCAGCGACCTCATCACCAAGACTGCATCTCTCCATGCTCCCCATCTTAGTCAACTGCCTGTTTCTCGTTTCATTTCCAGGCCTCCTGCAGCGCGTGGACCGCACCCACCTTTCCCACTGTCCCTCACACCCATCCTTCTGTCCTCGCTTCCCTCCTCACCCGGCTTAAATCCCACAATCTGTTATTACAACTCCGTCCTTCAGCGACTCCCTTGCGCTTTCTCTTGCTCATACTTGTCTGTCAAAGCCCCAAGCCTGCTAAGCCCAGCCCTCCTGTAAGTGTGTTCTACCCCTGCCTGGGGCCGGGCAGGCTGGGAAAGCAGCACCTGTCACCCACTGGTGGCCCGGATCTCCGTGCTGGTCTCTGGTGTTGCTCTACCCTGTTCACACTCCCCATTTCCTAGACGATTATCTCCCTCCCCCGCTTCCATGAGGATCCTTCATGGTGAGCGTGGATCCCTGGCCTGTCCCCTTCCCACACGCCAGGCACCCTCCCGAGGTGACATTGGGACTCACCACGGCCACAGCCTGGGACTGCAGGAGCTCGGTGGCTGTCATCACAGTGAAGTAGGAGACGTTCATGAGGATGTAGCACCCTGTCACCAGCAGGATCCCAATGATGATGGCCAGGGGCAGGTTTCTGGGAGGGGCGGGGACCCAGGTGCTCAGAGGCAGACCAGAGCATCCCATGAGAGGCTCACAAGTTGGTCTTCGTCTAGATCCTTCTCCCACCTGCCCCGGCCAGCCCTCCCCCTGCTCCCTGTGGTGGGCTCACAGCTGGGTCACAGCTGCCCTCCCTGAGGCCCACCCAGAAGCAGGGGACTTGTGGAGCAGCAGAGCCACCTGCGGGGACATGTGACATTTTCAAATGAGAAAGAACTCTCCCTTTTTAGACTCCAGAGCAGTAAAATTGAATTGTCTATAAAGCAAGATAATCTAAAGTTAGAGTTCTTCCTTCGTCTCAGCAACCATCCCACTATCCAAAACCGAGCTCCCGTGAGTGCAAATGAGCTTATAAGAACCCATCCACTGTGTGGAAGGCGGGGGTAGAGCGCCGGGAGGACGCGGTTCCACTTTTTGCTTGGGAGAGAGAAACACGCTCGCCTGTCCACTGCCTTCTGGCTGGACTCAGCTTTCCTACCTGAAAGGGTTTTTAAGTTCTTCTGTTATGTAGTTGAGTTGATTCCTAGAGAAAGGAAAGTAACATGAGTAACATAACTTGGAATTTCTTTGCGAAGATTATGAAAGACAAAATAATAAAGGTTGGCCTCATTACGCTTCATAGAGAAAATTCCCCTGTAGGAATTCCAGGGTAATTTCTTTTGGAGGAAGCCCTGGGGATGGTGGGATGACTAAGCTGCACATCGTCAGCTGGTAAGTCTTTGCCCTCCATGGGAATCACGTGAATTTTCAACAGTTACTGGGAGTAATTTGAGTGCTTTGAAAAAAAGTGGAAGATTCTTTGTCTGAAAAGAGAACAAACCTGCAAATGCCTTGCATGAGGGAAAGACTAGCATCCTGGATGGCCACTAGACGTAAGCAGAATTTCATCGACCACGCTAGTATTTGCAAGGTTGAAACAGAAGTGCCACTGAATATTCTTGCCTTGTCCAGTGCCTGGCAGCCCTCACTGCCTCCAGTCCGGCTGAGCCTGTCTGTGTCTGGTGATGCTTCCGGCACAGGGCCCCACCACTGCGGGCCCACAGGCCCCTGTGCCCAGGGCTGGTGCCACATGAGTGACTGGGAAAGGGGCAGGTACCCCGGTGTCTCTGGGGTCCAAGGAGAACAGAAGGGTGAGGGGTGGGGTGCTTGACAAAAGGGAGATATTAGGGTCCCGCAAAAACCCTAAAAGGAGATGGCATTGCTTTTCACACGTTTTCAGTAAGATAGCTTCAAGAAACCCACAACCAGGCATGTGCCGTCTTAAGAGTGCCTTACCATCCATCATACGCCCAGAGTCCATTATAAAATGCCAGACTGATGGCTCCCACAGACAGTTTTGGGCCCTCAAAAGAATTTTCAAAATTTCTTGTATTTCCTGTAATTAAGCCAGACAGTGAATAGTGGGTGTCAGCCGACCAGACTGGGACTTGGCATCATCTCCAGGTAAAAGAAGGGGGTGGCTTATGACCTCAGGTTACTAAACAGACTGAAAAGTTGGGAAACTGAGGTTGCTCCTGTTGAATTCCTGCCTTACAGGTATACTTAGGAGCAAGACCTCCAGATGGTCTGTGCTGTGTGGAGCCCACCCACCCCTCCAGCCAAAGGTCACCTTGGGCCAGGAGGACAAGTCCACTGATGATGATGATGGCCACGATCACCAGCTTAGCTGCTGTGAACACGTTCTGGACGTAGCTCCCCAGCCGCACGCTCAGCGCGTTCACTATGGTGATGAGCACTGGGAGGAAGAGGCAGAAGTGGGCAATGTTCTGGGTCTATGGGCTTAGCATCTTCCTCCTTTCTTAAGGCCCAGGAAGGAGTCTCCTTTCCACTCCCAGGCTCCGCTGCATCCTCCTCCATTCACCACCACACCCATCAAATGCACCTTGGAAATCCAGCCGGGGCTGCCTCCCTCCAAGAACAGTGGAGAAACAGCCAGGCCCCAGCCAAGTGCTGCCCTGTGGGACAGCCTGCGGTCACTGCCACCCTCCACCCCTGACAGCTCTGACGGCCCTGCCGCACAGGGGTGGGACAGCAAAGGACACCAGGTTTTGGGCCAAGACCAGACCTGGCCCTGCTCCTCACCAGCGCCTCCAGGCCCACTCGGCCTCTTTCTGCATATGCAGGAGCCCAAGCCAGTCTCCCCACGTCATCTGTGCCAGGACTTTTCTGACCCTGCCCAGGGTTTCACACGGGTACTCACAGATGGCAGCGGCAGCCAGGCATTTAACGACAATTTGAGGAGGGTTGCAGCCTGAGTAGAAGGGCGCAGAAACGTACTCAGAGAAGCTCAGACAGATGATGGCAAAGGACGAGGGCTTTGTGACGAACAGGCTGGTCCAGGAAAAGAGATAGGCAGGAATGGGGCCAAAGGCCTCCATCAAGTAAGGGTACTCGCCCCCTGACTTGGTGATCATTGTGCCAAGCTCCGCGAAGCACAGAGCCCCTGGAACACAGAGAGGAGCGGGGACCCCGGGCCCCTCGTGAGGCTTCGCCCTGACAGGGAACCCCGCTCCCCACGTGGGAACTGTGCTCCCGGGGCCCACCACCGTGTCTCTCATCCTGAGCTGCGACCATCGGACATTTCTGCGAAGCCCAGTTTATGGCTATTTGCTCACAAGCGTTGAAGGGGATCCCAGCAGCAGCAGAGAGAGGTCTCATAGCCTGTCCCATGCTCAACAGGGGGTGTTCGCCAGGGAGGGGCACCTTCGTTACCCAGTGTCGCAAGAATCCCACAAGCCGCCCATACGATGAGACTGGGCCCCACAGCCTCCGTGTTGCTGAGCACAGATTTGGGGGAAATGAAGATCCCGGAGCCAATGATGGTGCCCACGATGATGCAGATGCCACTGAACAGGCCCAGCTTGGATGTGGAGAAGGGGAGAGGAGAGTTAGTGCTGCCGCCCGGATGGGGCTCAGATGCCCAGACGCAGCCCTCTTTCTCCCACCCTCCCTCCTGCCCTCGATGTGGCCGGGCTGGGCCCAAGTGGAGGAAAGCCCCAGGGCGACGCTCTTGGGACTTCAGTTGTAATGGATTAAGTCGATTAATCCTCATGAGGCCGGTCTGCCATTACCATACCCATTTTACGGGGGGAAACAGAGGAACAGAAAGGTTATGTTACTCCCCAGGATTCACAGCCAGTGCGGGGTAGACCTGGCTCAGGTTCCATGCACCAACCCTTACGGCCCTCGACAAAGGGGACCAGATGGTAAAGGCATCAATCACCAACGAGAAAGGCCCCCGGGACACGCCTCTTAGTTGGGCAGGGCCGAATGGAGCTTATCCTCCAAAACTAAGAGTGAAGTCAGGGCTTTGGGGGCCTGGCCCGAGGCATCACAGGGGAGCGGGGCTGTAGGCGGTGAGCAACGAGGCCTCAGGGACAGAAACCCTCGGGGGCTGTGAACTTTCTTGGATGTCATTTTGCAGAGTATGATCATGCTACCAACAGGACACACACGTATGACCCATTCCTATGCAGATCCAGAGAGGGCAAAGCTAACTGCAGGGACAGCGCTGGGGGTGGGCAACCTGCAAAGGAGCAAGAGGGAACTTTCTGGGATGATCCATTTGTCAAACTCATCAGTCTGAACACTGAAGATCTCACTTCACTGCTTGTAAATTATACATGAATCAAGAAATAACACTGTTAAGGAAGGAAATGTCTCATGCAGGCCCCTACTTACAACATTAGCCCTGGGAAGCCTGATTTCTGGAGCCCGAGGTGAAACATGTATGTGCTTGTCTGTCTGGGTAGAGGCTGCGCCCGGTGTTAGAGCCCAGAGGACGTGGAAGACCCCAGCTGCAACTTGCCACCAAGGGACACACATAGTCAGAGGAGGGGTCCCAGGGAGCAGTGTTGACTTCCATTCCTCCGGGCCATCTCCGCTTCCCTCCTCTATCGGCCAGGTTGGCTCACCAACGCCTCAGGCTCTCCAGAATCCTTCCTTGCTGAGGTCTGCATTCAGCCTGAAGCTGCCCAGCTGAGTTTAGGGCATGCTGGGGGTTAGCTCAGCTGGGCTGTTTTCATGGCCAAAAAGAGGGTATTGCTGCCCATCAGCCGACTCCTAGGGACCCAGGATCCCAGGCCAACACACAGTCAAGCCATGTCGTTCTCCTGGTTAAGCCCCTAGTCCCTCCCCCATCTCCTCTGTTGCCAGGCATGGGAGCTCCCGGAGGCTCTGCCCAGAGCCCAGCCCACAGGTCCTGCCCTTGACACCATCCTGACCTTGCTCTGGGGCCCTCGCTCCTCATCCTGTGAGCCTGAAGCTTGTCCTTCCACTCCCATCTCCTGCTGCTCCCATCCCCCTGGGACTATCACTGCACAGCGTGGAACTCAGCGCTCCATCCCACCTGCACTGCCCTGCTCCTCCCCACGACCCCCTCCTTGCAGGCCCAGCTCCATCTGCCACACACTCAGGCCCCTCCAGGCCGCAGGCACCTCCAAGTCCCACCCTTCCTATAGCCCAGCCCAGAGGGATCACCTATGTCACACCCATGTCAGAGTCGCCACCCCAGCTAGACTCACTAAGAAGGAATGGCAGTTTCCCTTGGGGGAAGGTATTCAACCATGAGGAACAGATATTTGGTGAAGGTGCCATAGAGGGGACTCAGACATCAGAAGTCCCCTCTGACCATCCGATAACAGGCTATTGGTCTGGGCAAACGCCAGCCCCTCGAGTGCTTACCCAGCACACAGAAGCACACATGTATTAACTTCATGAGAACATGCTGAGTTCATGGGCAAGAGGGAAAGAGGTAGGTGCAAAGAATTGTTCCATCAGGGATGGGGGTGGGAGAATAGTTCACGCCTCCAACACCGCCCCACCACCGCTGGACCTGGGAAGGGCCCGGCCCCGGGGACCGCCTTACCTCCTTTTGGAGATTTGTGGTCTTGGGTTCGTTGCTCTGCATCGACTTCTCCTCCTCTCTCCTCTTTCTCAGGTTGGCCTCCTCCATTTCCCCTCCTGCCAGTCCTGGAGGCTGCAAGGAGGGCACGGGCGTCCACTCGGCAAGTGCTCCAGCAGAGGCACCTGTGGCTCAGCGGGCGCTGCCTTTGTGGACAGATGATTAGCTACTGTTTGGGGAAAGTGCAGCTGTCAATTGCACTTTTGCTCAGTCTCAGCAAAATTTTGACAGCCGTTCAGGCCCTGGGCAGCTGGGCTTCTCAGCTCTTTTCCGACCTGCCCCATGAGACCCTGGGCTCCCCCACCCCGCCCTCCCACACCTGCCCTCTGTCTCCTAAGCCTCAGCAATGACACACCTGAAAGTCATTCTACCTCTACTTTTTTTTTCCAAAAGTAAAAAGAACTACATTAAAACATACTGGGATATACTTAGTGGAATCAAGCCCGAGGCAGGAAGGTTTTTCTCAGAATTACTTCCCAGGGTGAAGTCACCTCGCACACAGTGGATTCATGATATAGATATTCTTTTCGTTGAGTGATGCAAAGAATGAACAGCATTGCTGAGGAAAACCAGTTCAAGGATGAACTAGGTAGCGGTCTTTTCCTGTGCCCTTCCTCCAAATCAAGTCCCGCTAGGGTCCCTGGCCGGGAGAGTGTCCAGCCTTCCCGTCACCCAGAGGCCTTACCTCCTCTTTGAACTCGCAGAGCGCAGGGAGCTGCCCGGTGCGGCTGACCACCTGCCTCTGCACAGTCACACCCTAGGAATGGCCATGTCTCATGCCCAGGAGAGGAGGAAGCCAGAAGGTACAGAGGTCAACGAAGGTAATTATTAAACACCTTTCTTTTAAAGCAATGAAGCTTGGATACACCACACAAAAAGGGGAGGGTCGGGCAAGCCAGTTTCTCTCCCAAATATTTTTGTTTTGTTCATTTGTGTTCAGATCAGTTTGTCTTTAAATTAACCAGATTCCTCCCACAATCAGCTGTCTCCTGGAAGGAGAAATCTCTCTCTCAAGACTGGAACCACAGGAGACAAACTTCGAAATCTCCTCTTTTATTATCTTAATAGGCTCTATTTACAACTCCTGGCAGGCAGCATAACCAGGAACCGCTGTGCATGGAAACTAACTGCACGTGGAACTTGCGGGTCAGGGCGGACGTTTCACTCCCCACTGAGCAATTTCCTCCAGGGTCCTTGGTCCGCCTTCCACCTGCTTCTGACCAAGTCTGTGGGATGGTGAGTGAATCCTTCCCACTCACCATTGCCACTGACTGGGTTTTGGCACCGCCTGGACCCAGACAATTTGGCAGATGGAGACCCAGCAGCGAGGCCCGCACACAGCCCCGCTCCATCCGCACCTGCAGCCCTGGCCACCCGCCCCTTTGACTTGCTGCTGTTGCTGCTCACGTGGCCCAGGCCCGTGCTGGTCGGACTGTAGAGTGAAAAGGGGCACAAACACCATCAGTTCCGCACTGTCACTTACCTGATGGGGAAACAGCCCCCAGAGGGGAGGAAGCCCCTCAGAGAGGGCTCTGGAGACCTCTCCTGTCAGAGGTGGAGCAGAGGGGCTGCAGTTGCGCTCAGATGTGAGGGTGGGGGCAGACCCACCCCTCCCCACCAAGGCCACCTCCTGGCTGCTCTAATCCTTAATCTCAGATCAAGGCCTGGGACAGAAGAGCCCACCCAGCCTGAAGCACTGTTGCTTTATTGCCTGCCTCCTCCAGCAGTTTTGCACTGGGGTAGATTTAACAGCATCCCAGATATCCGGTTGAGACTGAAGGTCACCAGACAGAGCTGGTGAGTCACTGAGGGTCACTTTGGGAGCACGTTGTGGCAGGCAGATGTGAGAGGAGCATAGCTTTCTTGGGGTCATCTCTTACAGCCTTCTGGAGAATGTAGAGGACCTTTGCTGTCCCAGAGTCAGGGTCCTGATGTTGAAGTCTGTTACCTGACCCCTTAGTGGGGCCACGCCTCCTCATCAGGGCACCTGCTCCTCTCGCCCACTGGAGCCAGAACCCGAGCAAAGTGCTCACTCGTGGGCTGTCTCTCCAGAGTGTGGAGGCCAGAGGCCAGGGCAGGACATGGCACCCCAGACAGGACCTGCACACAGGCTTGTCTGAGTCACCCCTAAGGTATTTGTCAACACTGCAACACTCAGAGGTAGTGCCAGGCCCATCTGAACTTGCAGGGCCCTACAAAATGCTCCCTGGGTCAAGGTCGCCCCAGTGGGCTGATGTTCTAATGGAAATCCCTGAGGACAGCAGGGTGGGGCAGTGTGTGGTGGTGAGGGGGAAGGCCCTGCTGAGCCCACACCAGTCACACAGCCTCAGGGTTACTCAGGCTCTCTCCAAGCATCTGTAAAATGGGCCAGTACGGGCATACCCCCTTCACAGAACTCTGAGGGCTACAGAAGGTGATGGATTGGGTTTCCATGCTCTGTTCATGCAAAGGAGACTCTGGTCTTCTTGGGCCTCTGCCAAGTGCTGCCTTTGGGACATCTGGGCATGAGGATCCTTGCTGAGCGTCAGAAATCTGCTTCAGTTCATTTTCGGTCCATGACAAACGTTTCTCTTCTTAAAGCTGTTGTTTTTGTTTTGTTCCCCAGCAGAGTGAGTGCTCAACCAATTATCTCAAGGTTTTTCCTGTGCCCTCCTCCTCAAGAAAAATAATGCGGATTTGTCTTAGTAACACAAATTTTCCCCCATTTCTTCAAGACCTTTGGCTCATTGTATATCCTGCTTTTCCACCACATGCCCGAAGTTTTACCTCATTGCAGTCAATTCCGTCTTACAGTTAATTTCCTTAGGACGTTTCTTTCTTTCTTTCTTTTTTTCAGACAACTCCATTATTTCTTAAGTTTCTGCTTAAGATCTTGACCTTCACTTTCAAACTGTGCTTTTTCCAGTTGCAAAGATGCTTGCCGTTTGAAGATGTGTTCTCTTACCTGCCTGAATTCCAACCAGGAGGACTCATAATGAGTGAATGGAATGTGCAAAGTCTTTTACAGTCTAACTGTAAAACAATTAGCAAGGAAAGCACAATTTAAAAACTCTTATCTGGGGAACAATCTGTATGTATATATACAAGAGCTATTGGAATAGTGCAATTCTACTTCAGAACTTTGTCCATCAGTTTTTGACATAATTGACATATAGCACTATATTGGTTTCAGGTGTACAATAAAATGATTTGATATTTGTACATACTGCAAAATAATCACCACAATAAATCTAGTGAACACCTCTCACCACACACAGTTACAAATTTTTTTTCTTGTGATGAGAACTTTTAAGATCTACTCTCTTAGCAACTCTCAAACAATACAGTATTATTAACTATAGTTGCCATGCAGTATATTACCTCTCTAAGACTTATTTATTTTATAACTGAAAGTTGTACCTTTTTGACCACCTTCACCCATTTTGCCCATCCCTCACCTGTGGCAACCACCAATCTGTTGTTCTCTGTCTCTACGAGTTTCTTTTTCTTAATTTTTTGTCTTTGGGATCTTTTTTTTTTGATCACAGATGCAAGAGAGAGCATTCATATTTGTTTTCCTGTGACTCTTTTATTTCACATCCAACCATGTTGTCACAAATGGAAAGATTTTTCCTTCTTTTTATGGCTGAATAATATTCCATTATATATGTCTCACATCTTCTTCATCCATTCATCCATTGATAGACACTTTGGTTGTTTCCACATCTTGGCCATTATAAATAATGCTGCATTGAACATGGGGGTGCAGATAGCTTTTCAATTTAGTGTTTTTACCCAGAAGTGGAATTTCTAGATCATATGGTAGTTCTTCTATTCCATAGTGGCTGTACCAATTTACATCCCACCAATAATAGCACACAAGTATTCTTTTTTCTCCATATCCTTGAAAACACTTATTAGTTCTAGTCTTTTTGATTACATCCATTCTGACAGGTGTTAGATGGCATCTCGTGATTTTGCTCTTCCCTGATGATTAGTGTTGCCAAGCATCTTTCCATGTACCTGTTGTCATCTGTATGTCTTCTTTGAAAAAATATCTATTCAGATTCCTCTGCCTATTTTTTAATCAGATGATTTTTTTTTGCTATTGAGTTGTGTGTGTTCTTCATTGGATATTATAGTTTCTAATTAAAATATAATTTTTTTCTCTAAAATCATCTTCATTTCTACCAAAGATAGCCAAATTCACACTAATTTGTTTGCAAAATAATTTTAGTTTTATTACTTTTGGCCTGATTACTTATTTAAGTTCAGCAAGGATAGCAATTGACCTATTTTAAATCTGCTTTGCTGGAACTTTTCATAGCAATCTCCAGAATCCAGAACTTTTAATAGCTTCTTGAGGATAAGAAGCTATGTCAAGGACTTGCCATCGGACTCGCCCATAACAGCTACAGCTTTGAATGAATTCTTCTCTTCTTGAAGGTCCCCCAAATATCCTGAGGTTCCTCTGCCTGCCAGAAAGTGACTTTCCTTACCCACCTGGTAAGACTGCTGAGAACCGTGTAAGCAGGGAACCAGGGTATTTTTCCAAGGAGATTTACGGCTCCATCGTCAATCTTAGTTCCTTAAAATTGTCTGGTTATATCTGATTCTATGCAATTCTCAAATGTGACAGTCCAGTCAAAGTATTGGTAATATAATTAATGTCTCTATAATTGTGCCCTGTTACAAAGAGAACAGATTCTTAGTGAATTTATAGAAATAATTATATTGCCATGGAAATAAGAATGCCTTCTAAGGGTTTCCAAATTCTGGAGGGATCAGGCATGGAGAAAGATAAATGTTTCAATTCTGCTTACAAAGGTGGAACTCACCAAATTGCTGTGATTCATAGTTAGCATAAGAGTAATGGTTTTCTTAATCTGGAAAACAAACATTAAAAAGCCAGTAATATTTCAGACCATTAAACCATAAAAATTATAATCATATTCCTCAGCTCATTCAGTCCTATGTAATTAATTCTTGTTAATCTAGATCATTTGTTAGCAGTGTTACGAAGTCATCAGGTTTCCATCAGAGTTCTGTAATATTACCCAGTTCAGTGGTATAATCTGAAAATTATCATAAACCTGTATTTGTCAAAAAGTCCTTTCTATAAATCTTCTTGAAGGTGAAGCAGTTTTGCAAAAGCATCAACGTAAAATAATAACTGTCTATAAATGACAAAAAGACAAAACGGTATGGTTAGAGACCTGACTACGATGCAGTTGACAAGGAAATGTTGTTATTTCTATGACATACAACATTTTGAAATAACAGCTAGAATTACGACTGATAGCATTTTATCAGGACACATCAGATTTTTTTGAATTTCATATAATTTTTAGAACACTTATGTTAATAACATTCTTCAGTCATGCAATATATCTTAAGAAGATTTATCATCATTTATTTGACAATGTCTTCCATGTAATGTATTATGCCAGTTAACTCTAGTTAGTTTAATCTTAACTAACCATTGAGATGTTTAAGGGGCCCTCTGAAAAATCCCAAAGTTCAATAGAGGTCAAAATGACTTCACTTAGAATTTGATTTGAGGAAGTTTATCAAAGATATCAGAAGGTTTTAAAACACTTGGTCAAATCAGGTCACTGTGAAATAATACTTATTCACTTAATCAAAATGACAGAGTTCACAGACACATACAGAAAATTAAATAGTTCTTAAAAAAAAACT